AACAGAAAGAAAATAGACTCAAAAGAGCTAAAGAGTTGCCTCGCTTGGCCGAAAGTGGTGAACTGCCGAATTTGGTTTTCTCCGCTCCGATGAGAGAACATTCGTTGTACCGCAGTTTGTAAACAAACAAAATTATCGTGTTTACTTGCCAAAGAGGTCAGCTGAAAATGTGCACCTTCGGCTTGCCACCAGAACTCAAGCGCGCGCCGGCCATAGTGAGGGTGTGGGCCGCCATAACAGCCATTGTCGCTTTCCGCTCGTATTAATCGACCGTAGGTGGCATCAGAATAAATGACGAATATTATCGCAAAAATATTCTGGAGGGTGAAGTCGAGGGGTTTTATTATGTTTATCGCTTCGGCGGCTTCAACCATAATGCACCATTGCATAGGGTTCGCGATACGATGCGTCGACCAGCGCCCCTTTTGAATTACCCAGAGTTCTCTTAGAGAGTGGTAGCCCTCCACAGAGTTCTAGGTCTATTCCGCAGGTACCAATTCGAAGATCAGCTATATGGGCTTCACCGCCCCTTTTGGTAAGGGGTTGAGGACTATCTTACACCTATGCTGCTCTATGGGTCGCAGCACCCGGTTGAGAATGCAACACCACATCGAGCCGAAGCTCTACCCGCGATTTGGGTATAAACCACAACCACCGCGATTCTGGAGGGTATATTAAAGCCTTGGGCAGGCAAACATTTTGGCCGTACACCTTGGACATTCCAACAGAACTCAGCGCTATCGCACTCAAGAATGGCCAAGAATGGTTACAAAATGAGGTTCCTCGCTTCATTTCCAGCGCACAATAGCCACCAAAATCTCCGGATACAAATCCGTTGGACTATTGTGTCTGGGGTAATTTGGAAAGCAAGGTTGGCACTAAAAAATACCAATGTGTCGATCACATCAAGCAAGCGCTTCACCGGGAAAGGCTCAAAATACCGCAGAGCAATATTCGGGCAGCGTGTGACGGTTTCATTGGCCTATGGAGGCCGTAATTCGTGCCAAAGGTGACCAATTCGAATAAATCTAAACTTATTCTAAAATTTGATGCTATTTCCGACATTTTTTGCTTTCATTCAATATAATTAAAGAAAAATGTAAAAATTATGGCGTTTGACTTTGTAGCAGTTTTTTTTATCTCACCCTGTATTTTTAAAAATCAATATAAATCCAAATATTTTTATCAGTAAATAATTCTTAATATCTTTGCCACTTAAGGGTTAACTTTCCCTTTTCCAAACACCACCAGAACCAAAACAAGAAGCCCAAAGAAAAAAGGAGGACAAAAGAGAATTGTAATAAACTCTTCGTTGTTCTTAAATTAATTAAGTATAGTGTCAATTTAACAAATAAACGCTTTTAAGAAGCGTACAAATAGTTTTAAGATTACGTGAGCCATAATAGAAACACAAAACAAAACAAAAGTCATTACGACATTTCTTTTTTGCTTTTTCTTTACAAACTTTTAATACCAATTTAGTGAAAAAGGACGTGGAACAATAAAATAGAGTGAGAGAAGAACAAGAGTCATTAGTGCGTTTAAGGAATTTTCCAGTTTAAATTGTCGCTACAGAGTGGAAATGTAGTATTTGAGGTTTTATGTAACTGTCAAAAAAAAGTTTTGTAATTGAGCAATTTTCATTTCTTATTTTCTTGTTTTTTTTTTTTTTTTTTTTTTTTTGGTATGTGGTGTATTTTTACATATGTATGGTAGTTTTTTTACGTAGTTAATGGTTTGAAAATTACTTAGATTAAAGAATTCTATTTAGCTGTCAATTTGAGGAAGTTAATCCAAGTTTTCTATTGTTGGCCACAAAATGTGCTTTAGTTTTGAAAAAGTAATTAAAGTGCTGAAGTATTTATCATGTAACTTTAAAAATAATTAAAATGATTGGAATAAAAGGAAAAGTCAAAATCGGGCGGGGCCGACTATATGATACCCTAAACCACTATGCATATATAGTAGAGCTCCCGCAACATAAGAATTTATTTGAAGTAGATCATACCACCTACCAACAGTTATAGTTTGGTTTCAGAGGGAACTAATATTTAGCAGACATATGCAATTCTGAATCGCTTTTCACTAAATTTGACGAAGACATTGTTATAGAGTGCATGATATCACTTCGAAAAGGATTGTATTAAAAATATATATCGGATCCGAGTTCCACAAAATTGAATCGTAGGTCCCGAAATTCACTCCATTTGGTCTGATATTAGCCATTATTTGCACAATAAAACTGAAATCGTATTAAGGATATATGTGGGAGCTATATCCAAATCTTAGTCGTTCTCCACAAAATTTGGCAAAAGTATTTCTGAGCTCTATACGATATCTTGCACCAAATATAAATATGGGAGCTGTAACCATATCAGAACCGATTTTCACCAAATTTGATGTTCTTGATTCTAGACTGAATTCGGTCGGATGTGCCAAAATTCAGGTCATTTGGACTGATATCGGCCATCTGGTGCACAATTAACCCGAAATCGGTTGAAAATATATAGGAGCTATATCTAAATATGATCCGATTATCACCAATTTCAATAGGGTTCGTTCTTGGGCCAAACAAATTTTGTTTGCAAAATATCATTCCAATCGGATAATAAATGCGACCTGCATATTGTTCACAAGAATACATGAACGGACAGACGGACTGACATGCATATATCGACTCAGAATGAATGAATATCTCGCTTCTCTCTCCCTGTTACAAACAAATGCACAAAGACATGATACTAGGCCGTATATATAGTATCAGTCTTGAGTTATGATTATTCTATTTGTTGACCCTTTATGGGGGAGGTTCCGGAGCAGTTGGACAATGTTGACCAATTCGTATCTGACCTAAGACTGATAAAAATATTGCAACGTGGTAGACTTGTAGTTGGATACTTATCTCGCTTTCTTTGACCGTTTTGTTTTTCACAATTGTTAACCCTTTGTGAGAGAAGTACCAGGAGGAGTGCGCCGATGTATCCCATTTCCACAGCAGATCTATTGTTAGAAAAAATAATGGCATGTGCGAAATTCAAAACTTCAAAACTTTAATTGGAATGGGATGATAATTTCGTGTTTTATGAGCTTCATGGATATTGAAATTTTTGACGCTTTGTGACGGAGGTATCAAAAGCCATGGGCCGATATATCCCATCTTCTCAGCAGATCTTGTTTTAGGAGAAATAATGGGATGTGTGCAATATTAAGAGAACCGTATGCTGATTCAGGAGTTTATAAACGATTTGGTTATTCAAAACTTTGACCCTTTGTGGGAGAGGTACCAGTGGGAATGGTCCGATCTCTTATGAGCTTAATGGATATTCAATATTTCTACCTTTTGTGGGGGAGGTCCCAGAAGGAGTGGACCGATATATTTCATCTTAAGATCTTGGGTTTATAAAAATATTGGGATGTGTGAAATTTTAAGACAATCGGATTCTTACATCACATTTTATAAGAGTTATAATTATTCAAAATGTTGACCCTTTGTGGGGGATGTACTTGATGGAGTGGAACGATATTGTCCATTTTCGCACCTAACATAGTACTGATGGAAATATTAGGATTCGCTAAGTTGAAGAAAAATCAGATTATCGTTTCTCTTTATGTGCAGAAAATTTTTTTTTTTAAATTTTGACCCTTTCTGGGGGAAGTACCAGAAGGTATGGACCGATATATTCAATCTTCACACCAGTCCTTGGATTAATAAAAATATTGTGATGTGTAAAATTTGAATACAGTTAGGCTCTTACATGACATTTTATAAGCGTTGTAATTATTCAAAATTTTAACCCTTTGTGGGGGAGGTACTTGATGGAGTGGATCGATATTGTCCATTTTCGTACCTGACCTAGTACTGACGCAGATATAAGGATTTGCGAAGACGTAGACCAATATTGTCCATCTCCGAATTCGATCTAAGTTTGATAAAAATATGACAATGTACAAAGTGCGTGAGCTCGTTATACCAAAACTGGAACCTCTATAGACAACTTTATTTTCCTTATTTATCTACCAAATCTGTTTTTGAAACAGTTTCGTGGGTAAATGTGACTAGGATTATCAAAATACCGAATGTCGGTGGGTATCGTTACATGTGAGCTATACGAAAACATGGACCTAAATATTCAATGTCCTGCCACCGGAGGTAGAATCCATTATGAATTGCAAATACTAATTTTTAGACAAGTCCGTGGAAAAATGTAACATAAATCATCAAAATCCGAATATCGTAAGATACCTTTGTATGGGGGCGATACAAAAAGGTCGACCTATACCTACAATGTTTCGCCACCGGAGCTAGAACCCATAATGTGGAAAAATTATGGCGTTTAACTTTGTTGAAGTTTTTTTTATCTCACTCTGTATATCTTTTTTAATACCAAATTACAAAATTGTGCTGCCAAATTTTGAAGCACTACGTCAAATAATGCGGGCTGTTTCGTGATTTCAACACACAGACAGACGGACATCGTTACATAGACTTAGAATTTTATGCTAATCATGAACAAAGTTAATTACCCTCCTTTTAAAGGTGGAGGGTATAAAAAAAACTATTTGGTAAACGGTTAAACTTATATGTCTTTAGTTAGAAAGGTAATAGAAATATTCATGTATAATTAATTAGGTAATTAAAAATCTTTCTGGAAATTTCTGGATGACAGCTAAACAGAAATTAAAAAAAATAGTTGTAAAAGATGTCTATAGAAAATGTATAACAACATTCCATAATAATTGTTTTCATGTATGTACGTATGTATCTTAATTCTAGATTTTTAGGTGGTCATTTACAAGTGGGAATTCTTATAATTTCTTTTTTATGTCCCTTTTGTTTTGTCATATTTTCATTTTAGCATTGAATATCTTACATTTAATTAGGTATAAAGGAATATCATTGAATAGTTGTTGTATGAGTTGACAGCATTGATGTTGCATTTATTTGAAACTCATATTTATTTGTTTTTGTTGTTGATGTCTACTTTCAGATTTGTATTTCCACTTTTACACCTGCTCTGCCGTCTCATCCAATATCATCGAATGCAAATCCATGGCTGAACGTGTTTTACGCGGCGGTCTTGGCATTAGGAATTGATTTGGACTTGGTCCCACAAACACGGAATTTTGACGTGGTCGACTTTGGGCAATGTAACCTGAAATGGAAGAAAGGTGAGTAATGTAATTAAAAATTTGGAATATTTTTGGGGATAATACATAAGGAATTTTTAAATGAGGTATAAGTGACAACCAGCTGATTTTCGCCTCTTTTCGTCAATAAAGACCTCAATATTTTTTTGTGAATGAAAATTAAAATTTGAAAAAAAATCTTAAATCCACTATAAAGAACACGCACTATATTTGGTTAGATGTCAATTGAATATGACACCCATCTTGGAGGATATTCAGCCAAAATTTCAAGAATAGGCATTTCAAACATTTTTCTGAAGAATATATATTGCAATATGCTTGAATTGAATTAGAATGTTGGCATTAAAAAATAACTAACGACAAGCTTTATATAAATACAAAAACTTGGACTGTCTCCTTTTTTGGGCACGTCATTACCGAAGTCCTATAGGCCTTTTTATGAGAACAATTTTATTGGAACTTCCTCATGTTATTACACCCTAAGCCATATGGCTAAGGGGGATATATATCATTTGTATTGGAAATTCCGTATATTATTACACCCTCAGCCATATGGCTAGAGAGGATATATATCATTGGATACTGCCAGAACGTGCCTCATCGAAATATCATTTTTTTACCCTGGGTCTCTTTGGACCAAATCCGTTTCGAGACATTTGGAGTCGATCTGGCGATGTCCGCCTGTTCGACTGTTTATCTATCTGGCTGGCTGGTGCGCACAATAACTCTCGAAGGGCGTATCCGATTTGGTCCAAATATGCAACACCGTCATATTATTATCAAACATAGATTGAGTTCGGATGTGAGCAATATCGATCCACTCGATCTGGTACATCCCACGAAATGTCGAAATTATCAACAATTTGCACTGTTAAAGAACGGGCAATCCGATTTGGTTCCAGCTTTGAAAATCCTAATATTTGCATCAGTGTTAGATTAGGTGTGATAATGAACAATATTGGATCACTCCATGAAGTACCTCTCCCACAAAGGGTCAAAATTTGGAATAATTATAACTCTTATAAAATGTAATGTCAGTGCCGAATTGTCTTCAAATTACATACATCACAATATGTTTATTAACCCAAGGTCTGGTGTGAAGATGGAATATATCGGTCGACTTCTTCTGGTACCTCTCCCACAAAGTGTCAATGTTTTGAATATTCATGCTGTTCATATAAAGTGAAATTAACATCCGATTCCATTCAGACTTGGAACATCTCAATATTTCTATCTAAACAAGATATTTTGTAAAGATGGTAGAGCCTGGGTCATTCCTTCTGGTACCTCCCCCACAAAGAGTCAAAGTTTTGAATAACCAAAATTATTATAAAATCCGAAATAGGCATCCGGCTTTCTTCATATTTCACACAAATCCCATTACTTCTATTACACAATATCTGGTGTGAAGATGGGATATATCGGTCCACTCCTTCTGGTATATCCCCCACAAAGGGTCAACATTTTGAATATCCATGAAGCTCATAAAACGCGAAATTAACCCCCGATTCCATTCAGACTTGGTACATTTCAATATTTCTGTCAAAAAAAAAAAAAAAATATGTAGTAAAGAAGGTAGAGCGCGGACCACTCCTTCTGGTACCTCCTCCACAAAGGGTAAGAGTTTTGAATAACCAAAACGATCATAAAATCCGAAAAAAAGCATTAGGTTATCGTCATATTTCACACATTCCATTATTTCTACTAAGACAAGATCTGCTGTGGAGATGGGGTATATCTATCCACTCCTTCTGGTACCTCCCCCAACAAAGTGTCAAAATTTTGAATATCCATCTCATTATTTCTATCAAAACAAGATATGTAGTAAAGAAGGTAGAGCACGGATCACTCCTTCTGGTACCTCCTCTACAAAGGGTCAAAGTTTTGAATAACCAAAACTATCATAAAATCCGAAAAAGCATTAGGTTATGTTCATATTTCACACATTCCATTATTTCTACTAACACAAGATCTGCTGTGGAGATGGGGTATATCTGTACACTCCTAATACCTCCAGAATATGAATATCCATGAAGCTCAAAAAGCGTGAAATTAACCTCCGATTCCATTGAGACTTGACATATCTCAATATTTCTATCAAAACAAGATCTGTTATAAAGATGGTAGTAGTCCTACCATTTCTTCTGGTACCTCCCCCACAAGATTTTGAAAAACAAAACGCTCAAAGAAAGCGAAATTAACATTCAACTCTCTTTAAATTTCACACACACCAACATTTTTGCTAACACAAGATCTGTTGTGAAGATGATATATATATGCGAACGCCCTTCTGTTACCTCACCGATACAGGGTCAAAATTTTTGATACTTTTATCTGTCATAACTTGCGAAACAAGTCAGGGATTCTTTACAACTTGCTATATCTAAATACTTCTCTTAACCACAAAGCTGAGATGAATATGGAATTTATGATTTCGCATAAAATTGGATATAAATGTTCGATTTTCTTGTAATATTTCCCATAGCAATATTTTTATCTGTATTATTTGAAGCATGAAAATGGAATACTTCGGTCGACTATATCTGGCACCTCAGGCACATTTTAGCATTTTCTAAAAATTATCACATATCCCATATAAAATGAAGGAAGTAGTCGATATAGTCCAAACCTGGCACATCGCAACATTCATGTCATATTTTTTTAGGTCTGATACGAATGTGACAATATTGGCCAATTCCCATAGAGGGTGAACAATTTGAATAATCATAACAGAAGTCAAAATATATTTAAAAAATTGAACATTGGCTGAGGGTATACATCTGTCGGCAAAACCGACTGATACAACTTAACTTGTTATAAGAAGAATTTTATTGGAACTTCGTTTGGTTATTTCATTTTTAATTAATATTTATCCAATATGATTACTCTATTCATTTGAGTGGTTTTAAAGCTCCACATTTTGTATATAAAAAGAGAGGTGTTATAAGGCTTAACATTTAAAATGTTTTCTTAGAACTACAATCACATACAAAATAAAATAACATTTCCGTTATTATTTCTCTAAACATCCACAAAGATAATCTCAACAAATGCCAACAGCAGCAACAACAACCGGAAATACATTTCAAAATTGTGTTCACAGCATAAAAATGTTTAACACAATTCGTTGTATATTCCCAGCAGTAACATTCAAGAAGTCGTTAAATCAAAACCTAAAATCCATAAAAAAAGAATCCTTTTCTCTACATCAAACATTCTTCTTGTTTGTTATCTTCAGTCAGATGGAAAAAAGGATACATTTGAATACAGATTTGAATGTGTTGTTTGGGAAAACATTTAACAAAATTGCACCGAGAGAGAAAGGAGGGACAGTAGAAGATAAGCATCTAATACACACTTGGAAGATAGGTAAATAAAAGGATAATGGAATTTTTATAGCATGTTATATAAAAAATACTGAACATATTTTTAGTTTTGTATGGAAAATTGTATTGAATTTAATATTTTCTTTTCATGAATCTCTTGTAACATTCGAAAATATAATAATATAATAGATCTCCGAAATTAGATCACACGACATATATAAATTTTTACTTAAAACAAGTCAAATAGTATCCGTCAGTTTTGCCGACAGATTTATACCCCCAGCCTTAAGTTATGATTATTCAAACTGTTGACCCTTTATGGGTGAGGTTCCGAAGCAGTTGGCCAATTTTGACCAATTCGTATCTGACCTAAGACTGATATAAATGGTACAACGTGACAGATATGGACTAAATCGACTACTCTAGTTGTTTAATTTCGAACATAATTCTCATTAAATTGCGTTAATATTACATATTTGTAACACGGGTGATTTTTCTCCTCCTTAGGTAATGTCTACTACCTCTTTATACTACTTTGTACTTCGTACATAATGTCAAAGGTAATGACATTTCCTAAGGAGTGACGTTTTGTAATTGCCGCCTTTACAGTATTCCACCGACTCTACGAGTAATAACAAGCATAGGATTACGTCCTACTGCAAAAACCCTTTGTACGAAGGTAATATTGTTCCACGAACAACCACCCTATAAAAAATATACAGTCCACTGCTCAGTGGGAAAAAATATTAATTATTTGTGTTTTTATTTTTCTCCCAATTTCTTTATTTTCATTTTGCTACGCAAATACACTAGTACTTTATATAAGATATTTGTAAATTTTTGGAAAATGGAAATATGCGTGAGGCAACAGATATAGCGGACAGAAGTATTCCATTTTCCTACTTCATCTAGATGCACATTAAAAATATTGGTATGTGCAAAATTTGAAGGAAGTCGAATATGCATATCCAATTCCATACGAAATAATAAATTCCGACAAATTACATATTCATATCCGAATTCTGGTTAAGAGAAATATTTAGATATAGCAAGTTGTAAAGAATCGCCGACTTGATAATCGCAAATGACAGATATAAGGATTGGAAGTTGTGACCCTTTGTGTGTGAGGTACCAGAAGGGGTCGGCAGATGTATATCATCTTCACAACAGATCTTGTGTTAGCATGTGGGAAATTTGAGAAGATGGATGGATGCATTTGGATGCTTATTTCGAAATCTTTGAGCGTTTTGTTTTTCAAAATCTTGAATCCTATGTGGAGAGGTACCAGAAGAAGTGGTCCGATCTCTACCATCTTTATAACAGATCTTGTGTTGATAGAAATATTGAGATGTACCAAGTCTGAATGGAATCGGATTTTAATTTCGAGTCTTATGAGCTTCATGGATACTCAAAATGTTGACCCTTTGTGAGGGGGAGTGGACCGATATATCCCATCTTCACACCAGACCTTGAGTTAGTAGAAATAATGGGATGTGTGTAATATGAAAAGATCTAGATGCCTTTTTTATTTTTTGCTCTTTTTGGTTATTTATGCTCTTTTTGGTTATTTAAACTTAGACCTTTGAGTGGAGGTACCAGAAGGAATGTTCCGATTTCTACCATCTTTATAACAGATCTTGTGTTGATAGAAATATTGAGATGTACGAAGTCTGAATGGA